GAATCCAGTTCAATAGGACTCGTAGAGAAAGCAAATTATCCTCTGAATTCAATAGCAGAGGGTATAGACTTAGAGGTGGTGGGGAGTTTGGTTGAGGATGTTTGTGGAGGACCAACGGAAAACCATTAGAGATTGGGGAAAAGAGGCAAAAGACGTGGAGAAGCGGACAATCCAGAGAAGGAATGATGGTTAGAAACAAAAGCCATGCAGTTATAAAGGCAGATGCGAATGGAGGGACGAGGAATAAGAAGGAGGACCAGTTGTGAGCTGTGAGAGAGGAGGGTTAAGGGATACAGATAGTAGAGTGCAAGATGTTGAAGATCTCATAAAACCAGGTGGGGGAGGCCAGCCTCGAGTGGCTCCCAAGTGAACAATGAGAGTTTACGGGGTAGAACTGAATAGGGCCAGGTGGGCCCTATACAGTTTCCCAAACTAAGAAGTCTTTAGTGACCCACCATCCAACTTTATTTTTCTTATCTAAGACAAAACATAAGGATTTTATAAGGGGGATAGTTAGGAAGCTGGGTTTTGATGAAATTTGGTTTTATGTTGACTCTAATGGTATAGGAGGAAATCTCGTTCTTTTGTGGCAGAGGGATGTAGAAATTTGCGAGTAGTCAATTTAGAGTTCTTCATAGGGGTGGAATTCAAATGTCAGGGTGAAGAGAAGAGTTCTTGTGGGGGGTGTTTTTCTAGTTCAGTGCAGTGAAAGCTGTCACAGAACAACAGTGGGAGGTTTTGGAAAAAAAAAGATAAAAAGATATGGGGTTCTAAGTGGGTCATCTTAAGGGATTGACATGATTTATGCAATGAGGAGGAAAAGAATGGGAAAAGGAAGAGAGGCTGGCAGAGTTTTGCAGGTTTCAACAACTTCATAGCCAATATGGGCATGATTGAAGTTAGATGAGAAGGGTATCATTTTTCTTGGGGTAATAACAGAGAGCTGGAAGGAATCATAAAGGAGAAATTGGACAGAGCTTTATGCTTTTATGACTGCTAGCTCAAAATCCAAATGTTTCAACTTTGAACATCAATGGAAGAGCTTCAGATTATGCATTACTCTTATTGGATACTGGTTCTCACATTCCAAAGAGACACAGGAGATTTCAGTTTGATAAAAGATGGCTCAAAGAGAAAGGAGTATGAGAGGTGGTAAAGGAAGCCTGGAACCATGAGCAACCGGAGACTCCTTTGTTCAGAGTAAAAAAGAAATTGAAGAAGACTAGAATAGCTATGCTGCTGTGGAGTAAATCTTTCATAAAGCTAAGATTAGAGAAGAATGAGAGACTTTCTCTGCAACTGTAGGAAATGAGAAAGGAGGGTAGAGAGAAGAATAGGGAAGCTAAGAAGAAGGAACTTGAAAAACCCTAATGTCCAAAAGAAGAACTTTGGCAACAAAAGGCCAGAATATTGTGGTTGAAGGAGGGAGACAAGAATGCCCCATTTTTTCATACTTATGCAAAGAAAGAAGCTCTATTTCTTTGTTGGTAGATGAGGGACGTAGAGTGTACCAGACACATGAGGAAATAAAGACCATAATATTGAGTTCTACAAAAGCTTATTTACCTCTGAAGGGAGTAATTCAGGAGAAGAAATCGTGCAATTGATTCCATCAGTAGTGAGTAAAGAGATGAATGAAAAATTATTGCAGCCATTGAGGAAGACCATATCAAATTTGCTCTTTTCAGTCTGAATCCAAATAAGTCATTGGGTGAGGATGGGATGACAACATTATTCTTCCAACACTTCTGGCCAATCTTAAAGAGTTACCTACTTATTGCAGTACAAAGTTTTTTTTCCAGAGAGGAGCTCTTTTGAGGTAAACTAACTAATGTACGTTATATCTTAAGCATGGGGAGGTAGATCAAACAATTAGTCGGGAGATGAATTTATTGTAATTTGGAGCTAAATGGGGAGATTAATAATATTACTCTAACGGAATGTTAATTATTAATTTAAATAAGAAATATGAACTAAATTGTCTTCTAGAGTTTTCCTAAGTAGAAGGATTTAATGTCTTTTAGAATATTATTAAGTTTGGAAGACAAGAGGTTTTCTATAATGGTAATTAAGTTGGAAGGCATTAGGACTTCTAAAAGGTTAATAAGTTGGAAGATATAAGATTTTCTAATCTTATGTAAAGAAGCTCATATTTAGCACCTCCTTATGATCTGTATTATAGCATATAAATACACCAAATCTCCAAGCCTCCAAGTTCATAATTCCACACTCCTAAGACCTGAATCCACATGCATGGATCAACTTTCATACGCCCAAAATTGTGAGCGAAAAAAAAGAGTTCTCTTCTTTAGAAAATTCAGATAAAATTGAGAGTTCATAGGAGAAAAAAATCGAGAGTCTTTGGAAGATCCAATTAATCGCTCCATTGCCATGAAAATTGGAGAGGACGGTCACCAAAAAAAGGCGAATCCACCGGTGCATTCACAACCACCTGCCGCAGCCTTTCGCGCCGATGTCGGAGCCCCACGCACCCCCACGTGCCGTCGCAGCACCGCCCGTGCACGGCTGCGCACAGAAACGATGCGACAAAATTCATCCTCGTGCGTGCCCTGTTTCCAAAATGTGCCCCGCGTGCTCCTCGCGCGACTCGCAGCGGGCCCTTGTGTCCCGAGCGGGATCTGCATACTCATCACAACCTGCAGCGCCCGCGCACGCACGACGACTACAAGCAACGAGACACTCCTCGAGTCCAGCGACCTGTGCAGGCCCAATCTCATGCAGCGCTGGAGTCTGCAGCCCAGTGACAGACCCGACCCAGTCTAGTCCAGTCCGACACAGACCTGACCCAGTCTAGTGCAGTCTGACACAGGCCCGACCCAGTCCAGTCCAGACCAATCTAGGAGCAGTTCATCACCAGATTCGAGCCCACGACGAGTCCCAAGCGGTCCAATTAACCTACCGAAGGTCCAAGACGATCCGACGAGCCCGACCAGCAACTGGAGATGTGATTACGAGGCCAAGTTTGGCTGCCTAATGGACTCAGAGTTTTAGACGATTTTTCCAACAATAGAAATCAAAATCTTGTCAGAGTCCACAAATAATTTAAATCGTAAGTTCTAGTCCAAACTATAATGTGCGTCAGATTTTATTTTTAATAGAATCGAATGTGCGTATCGACGACATTCCTTATAGAACCCAACATACCTGATGTACCGCAAGTTCGAATGCTTTGAAAAATTCAAGGAGTATCAAACAGTTGTGGAGAAATTTCACGATAAGAGTATCAAGTCACTTCGATCTGATCGAGGCGACAAATACCTCTTAGGAGAGTTCAGGACATACTGATCAGAGGCTGGAATTTAATCCCAAATGACTGCACTAGACACGCCCCACTAGAACTGGGTTGCTGAGCGAAGGAATAGAACTCTTATGGAGATGGTATGGTCGATGATGAGCTATTCAAAGTTACCGACTTCGTTCTGGGGAACGCTAGATACAACATCGTATATCCTAAACGTAGTTTCATCGAAGTCCGTTGAGACTACTCTATATGAATTGTGGAAAAGGCTCAAGCCTAGTTTTTTACATATTCGAATATGTGGTAGTTGTGCATATGTTCTGGTGCAGAAGCTGGCAAATTAGAAAAGCGTTCGAAAGTACGGTTATTTGTGGCTAC